AGAATATTCAAAACCGTAGTTCCAACATTTATTCACCACGCATTACATATAGCAGAAACGCAAATCTTTATTGTATAATTGGATGAATTAAAACAAATAAATTTAAAAATACAGATCATTAAAGGGGACAGGTTCAAGGGATTTCTGAGATGCAAAAATACACATTTTAATTATTAGATGTACAAAGTATTTCTGATGTAATGATGATGCCACCAAAAATTTTCAAAATAGGAAAAGAAGAGTAGGTGTGGGTGCTAAAAAACCAGTTGGTACGTTTGAAATGCTGAATAACATTCAAACCCAGACAGTAAGTAGTTTTCCAAAACAGACTGAATTAAAATACAGGTTTGGGTGTATAACAACATGTGCAAAGAGAGGCAGGAGGAGAAAGAGAAGCCCTCAAAACGAGACTGAACAAGGAAAATTTACAGAAATAAAACTGAAACCACATCAGAATCTCAGAAACATCAGCATTTAAGAAAAAGAAGACCACAAATTAGACAATAAAGGGAGCAAAAAAGAAAATCAGAAGACAACTGTATCATAGAAGTCAAAAGAATTAGTTTTTTTTTCTTTTTAAAGATTTTATTGGGGAATTGGGGAAGGGGAACAGTGTTGGGGAATCGAGGAAGGGGAACAGCCAAGCTGCTGTCCTTCAATCTTAGTTGTGGAGGGTGCAGCTAGCTCAGCTCCAAATCCAGTCGCCATCCGGCCACCCGACGGCAGCTCAGTTTAAGGTGCCCTATTCAATCTTAGTTGCAGGTGGGCATAGCCCACCAATCCATGAGGGAGTCGAACTGGAAACCTTGTTGCTAAGAGCACACCCTCTAACCACTGAGCCATCCAGCTTCTCTGTGGCAGCTCAGGGCAGCTCAGCTCGGGGGCAGCTCACTGGCCCATGTGGGAATCGAACTGGCGACCCTGTTGCTCAGAGCTTGCGCTCTTAACCAACTGAGCCACTCGGCCGGCCCCCAAAAATTAGTTTTTAAAGAAGAGGAAGTGTCAATAACGTCAAGTACCTAAGAAAGGTCAAGTGAGATAGAAATTGGAAATGATCAGTGCAGTTAGCACTCAATAAGTAGAGAGGACAGAGACAGTAATACAGTGGACAGGAGGTAAGGAACAGGAGAACCAGGGAATGAACATGGACTATTTTTCCAAGCTGACTGCAAAGAAAATGAAGGTCGGGGAGGGACATGTACCAGAAGGAGTTGGGAGTCAAAGAGATATTTTGTTTGCTTGTGAAACAAGGAAATATTGTGTTTTCTTGTGAAATGAAAGACTTAGGTATATTTATATGGATAAAGGAAGCCAGTGGTTGAAAACATGAGTGGGAAATATCTGATGGAACATGGTATAAGTATGAATCATGAGGGCTTTTATCTTAACCAGCAAAAATAGCATAACAAACAAGCTTAGATATAAGAAAGATTTTTCTTTCTCAGGGAATAAAGTATGGATTATGTGCAAATGAACAGGTGTTACAAGAGGAGATAGCACATCATGGAAGGATTTGTATGGCCCAGTAAAAGAAAAAAAAATTAGACTTTTATCCATTGGGCAATCTAGTTATTTGAAAGCTTTTAAGGAATGAAATAATAGATGACATCTATGTCTTAGGGGTGGGGAGGGTGGGGGAAGAATTACTCCAAGGGTTTGATGAAGCCACTGTGAAACAGAAGGTCATCTCAAACATCTAAAAATGTGCCAGATATCCAAGAGTAGAAACATTCTATATCTTCACTTGTGCTTCTTCTTAGTGATGTGCTGTTATTCAAAAATGCTCTGATGGACACATCACAGGTCCATTAGTCCCTAAGAGAGCTTAATTTTCTTTATTGATTTCTTATTCTTATAGGCCACCTTTGAAACAATGGTTTTGGTCTATTTTCCTCTTTCTCTGATCGTTAAGGGAAAGAATATATTTGCAATTTATTTTAGTATTTTCTAACTTTGTTCTTCAAACTTTCCTCCAAAACTAAGGATAGGTAGAAAAAATAAAACGCAATATAATAAAAAATAAGAAATTTTACAACAGTAAAAATTTTAAGGACAAAAATAGTCTCTTACATGTAATAACAAATTTCAAATCTTAATTCTAGGTCAAATTACTGCAACGATTTAAACAGAATTTGAAAATACCTATTTCTTTTTCTTTACTAATGTAACAAGAGCTACTTTAGAATCCATTACATCATTATAAAAGCACTTACACATATTAACAAATAAAGCAACAACTTTTTAATACAATATTGACATATGCAGAAAATGAATTAAATTGATATCTGCTTCTCCACAATTGTGCTATGTGCTGATAATTCATATCACCATAATTATGTTATGCATATACCAGAAAAATTCATCCATTAAATGAGTCACTCTTGGAAAAGCCTATCATCAAATGTAGAGTCAAAATAATTCAAATAAACCTACTAAACGGTGATATTTTGCAAAACTACCCTTTAACAAGACTTTTACTTAAATTAAAAATCATAGGTGATTTAAGGAAGGCAGTTAAATGACTTTTTATATCATCAGCAAACTAAGCATAAAGAGATTGTTGATTCTAAAGAATCTCCTTACTTAGTGTTAAAATCTGCACTGCAATACAGAGAGGATACCATCAAAGCTAAGTACTTATTTTTGACTAAAAGAATAACATTAAGGAAGAAGGAACCAAATAACACCAAATGTCACCTCCTAATTCATTCTATCCCTCCTCTTTCCAGTCCTCCCCATTACCCCACCTGTAAACGGAAGCACACAGCAAACCTTTGGGTACCTAAGTGTAAGCTATATATTCTCTCACATCAGTGGTAGAGCAAACCACTAACTCCCTTGCCCAACCCTTTCCACCTTCCCCAATCGAAAACAAGATTCTTCCTAGAATGCTTCCTAAAGGAATGAGAGGGCAGGGAGGAAAGGAGCTTCTTTCCTCATAGTTGTTTTGCCTCTGGTATAACATCTATATATGCCTTTGCTGTCTCCTTCACTAGCGTCGGAGTTCTTCAAGGGCAAAGATAAAACCTATTGCTTTTTACTGTTGTTTAATTGTATGTTTTCCCCATTAAACCACAAACTGAATCTTTTCTCCACCTTGCTTAGTTAGCACTGAATCTCTAAATATAAGCTGATGCCTACTGAATGAATTACTCATTGCTGAATACTCCTAATAAATACAGGGATAGCACAAAGCTTTTCAGTAAGTGTTCACTAAATAAATGACCCACTTGAATGTGTCCCTATAAACTTTTCAATGAAACACTTTTTCAGTCAATTTTAAAAGGTAGTCATTGATGGCCAAACTTTTAAAAATTGGCCTTGTGAATTACTTTCATCCATAGCACTAGAACAGCCTGTTCTATAATCAGGCGCTAATAATTCTTCAATATCTAAGTGAAATATATGGATAAGTCATTGTGTAATGTTTTTGGTTAACTTGCTTCTCTGCTATTATTAGTCTCTTACTATGGCAACATTACAACTCTTAGGGAAAAAGCTTCAAACTCTGGGTATTTCCTGGCCTAAAACTAGTTTTAAATGCTTCTAAGTCCCTAATAGCGATACACACATGGTTATCCAATAAAGGAAATTTCCTCTGTAAACTCAGCCTTTCAAAAAGTAAAAGCAAAATACTTAAATTCTGGAAAGAATACACACCATAAAGATTTACATTAAATTCCTCCAACCTAAGATAATGACTATTTGAATTAGGTAATTTCATGATTACCCACAGGTTTTCTTTTTCTTTCAGTTAAAACTTTTAATAACCATACCACACACAACAAACTTGAGACGATAAAATGCACTTAGGGCCCTCAAGGTATCTCGTAGTTGTCTCAAAATCAAATCCTTACCTAACAAGTAGCTCACTTACATTTCCATTCAAATATCTGCAAGTGCACTAAAAGCTTGCAAAATAAAGGAATTATATAATATTACTGTAACATAATACCAGAATACAATATTTTAAAATTCCTAAAACTATTTACAACTTGTCCTATGAAAAACAATATAATTGTGCTGAGTGACACCTTATCAGCCTTATCAGGGGTTTGTTGAAAAACCGCATATGTCTTTACAAAAGTCACAAACACTTAAGATTCCGCAGCAAAGGAGCTAAATTAAAGGGCTAAACAAGAGCAGACAAACACCAGGTCTGCTCTATGCGGAAGGTAAGCTGAAATGTCATATCAAGTGGACCAGGAAGACGTCTACTATTAACCTCCTACTATCAATTCTCGGGCTGACGCAGAGCTTTCCTGCCCGCACGCGCTTGGGTCTCTGCCAATACAACCGGGTAAGTCATAACCAGAAGACTTCATGGGCTTCTCCGCCTCCCTAGCGCTTGAGGTACCTGACAGCCGATTTATAAACTGGGCAAAAAGGTAGGGAGCGAAACCCTCCGCAGGGGCCAAGGGCGGGCTCCACCCAGCCCCTCCTCAGAGGCGGACTGAGGCAACGGAGGCCGAGGAGCGGTTCTCTCTCGGAACCGAGTCCAGGGACTGCCGCGCCACGGCCTGGCCTGGCCTGGCCTCGCCTCGCTTCGCTTCCCACAGCCTCTAACAGCCCGCGCGGGAGATGGAGGCACTCGCGCCAGCCCCAGAGCCCCCCTTTCCACCGCAGACCAGAGTGTAAGCTCTAAGGTCACCGCCCACCCACACCCTCCCAGACAACGCGCGACGGCCCTCGGGGGCCAAGGACAAGTGCCAGGCGCGGGCAGCACCGAGAGGCGCCCCCGCGGAACCGCAAGATGGCGGCGTCGGCGCCAGGGCCGGGCAGCTCCGCCTCACCCGGGCTGGCGCGCGCACCGAGGCGCGAGCGGCCGAAGGAGGGAATGGGCCGGGCTGCGGGACAGGCAAGCAGAGGGCTGGAGCGAGGCGCCGCCAGAGAATGAAAGTGTTGGGGCGTGGGGGAGGGGACGCTCACTTGGGCCCCGGCCTCCGACCTTCCCTCCACACCCACCGCCCGCCTCCTGTCAGGGGCTGCCTTTCTCCTACCTTTGAATTTGAGGTCTGTGGGCGGGTCCAGGACCAGGATCTGCTCGTGCTTCGCCATGGCCCCAGAGGCGGACGCCATAGGAGAAAAAACACAGAGCGGGGGCGCGCCCGCGGCGGTGGTTTGCTGGCTGCGGGCGGGAGACGACGGCGACGCCGGCTCAGCCGAGCTGTATGATGGGGCCAGCGCACGGCTCCCGCACCCCGACACCTGCCGCTCTGTCACCGGGTCGGTAGGCCTCCCGCTGGGTCGGCAACTCCGGGTCTCACAACTGACTCCAACCTCACACCAGCCGTCGCGGCCACGCGCACTGCGATCCTCGGCGCCCCACGTGACAGCTTCTGCGTGCCTACGTGCGCGCCCCGGCAGCCGGGACTTCCTAGTGCTGGTCCCGCCCTCGAGTCCTGCCCTACGCGGCGCGAGCTGGTGCGCCTGCGCACTTCCGGCCTCGTCGCAGCTCGGCCGATAGCCCAGCTGTCAAGGGAACAGGTATGAAGAGGGGGCAGAACTAAGTTCCGTGGAACGGACGCCGTTCGCATCGCCAGAGAAGGGCACAATCCTCGGTCACGCTTAGCTGCTATTATGAAACTGGAGAACCCGCTGTGGCAGTGCATCACCATCTCCCAAGCGGGAATACCTACTAGAAGGAAGAAGTAGACTCATTCACCACAACTCGCAGAATTCTGTGTGCGGAGGGCGGAGCCGCTGTCTAGGGTGTTTTTGCGGCACTGCGCGATGCTTGCTGGGAATTGGAGTAGTGGCTGTTCGTGGACGGGAAGGTAGAAGGTCTGTTAGAGGCCAATGGGGTTAGGGGGGCGCTGACCCTCATTTTGGCTCTCCGATGGCCTCTCGTCTGCGCTAAAAAAGAAAAACCAAGACTTTTGGAGACTGACCCGAGGTCCCCTGGTTAAAAAATAAAAATATGCTCTGTGGAAAACATGCCGGGATTTGTCGGTTTGCTCTCTAATCTTACCCGTCCCTCTATTAGTAGAGGTAAATTGTGCGTCGTATTCCAATCTAATCTCTTCTGCTTCCTGAATTCTCCAGTGATGCAAAAGCAGATGAGAAAACAAACCTCATTTAAAAAGAAAACGCGTCGTTGGGGAAATCTGACAAGGCACACGTATAAAGCTAGAAATAAAAGTAAAAATCTACAGCGTTCTGTTGCTGTAGTCTATTCATCAGTTTTGATTAGTGATAGACCCAAACCAAAACAATTATCACGTTCACATACAGGAAATGAATTCCATCTGCATCATTTCGGTAGCATGTAGCAAATTGAGCCAAATGAGAAAAATCTGAGCAGCAAAGTTGCTGACAAATCTTTAACCGATTGCCAAGATAATGGGGACAGGAACGTTAAATGAAACAAAAATATGCTATAAATAAACCTTTATAATACTACTTGAGTTTAAATCCCTAGGAAGCACCACGAAACAAAAGACATATTGATGCTGCTACCATGAAGGAGCAGCAGCCCAGGTCGTCTAGAAAATAAATGAGAGACAACTAGAACAGTAGTCTAGGAGTAGGCATAAAGTCCAAGTTTTCACGTGCAATCCGTGTATCAGAGCCCATCTGGGAATAGCTCTCCGGACTAGATAGCCTAACATTCACAGATTATGCTACACAAGAGGAATGTATCTTCAGTCATGAAAAATCTGAGGATGGGAGTGCTTAAGTCGTTTGAAAAGCATATTCTAAATTTACCTTTCCTTTGATTTCTTTTTATTAACAAAATGTATTGTAAATATCAATTATCATGAAAGGAGAATACAAAAATTGTCTGTTTATCAAAAGGGGCTTATAGTTAAAAAAAAAAAAGTTGAGGTTGACATTCACGCCACAGGATGGTGTTCCACATAATTTTCGTTGTGAACTGAACCCTAAAACTGACACAAACTCAAAGTTTTTGCTTGCCTAAGAAGTCTTATCCATGGGAAAATTAGCCTTGGCTGAAGTGGTTCCTCCACAGCTAGAATGACATTTCTCTTACCTGAAAGCATATGGGAACCTCGAGTGTGCAAACAACCAATTAGCAGGTATAGCATGCTGAGGAAGTTCCCACTCACTCCCCTATGGGACAATGGCTGCCGTTCACCATGAGTTCAATAGGAAGCCAGAGTTGAATGTATTCCAGCTTCCCAGTCTGTATCATTAAGAAACCTCTGCCCATTTAAGTCATCACCTTTGGAATCTACTGTTTTTCTCTTCTCAACATTGCTTCAAAAATCGTACAGATATAGTCTTAAGATCTATAGGAATTTAAATGTATGGTAATCTATTTCAGTGGTTTGTCCTTGGGTATTAATACCTTTCTTAAACAGTTCAAAGAACTTTACAAACACCATCACACGCTACTCAGAACAACTCTATAACAGTTAGCAAGTGTTAGTTTATTGTTAAATATGGAAATGAAAACATGGGTGAGAGCATCTCATGTCAGTAATAGAGCTAAACTATGGAGAAAAGGTTAGCCAATTTTTCATTTAGTGCATTTTTGCTCTTCCCAAAGTCAATAAAATGACAACCAAGAGTGATTAAAGCAACCATTTAAAATGTAATTGACTTATCTATTGTTTAACACTTAAGCTAGGAATGGCGAAACATGTGGCCTAACATTCATTACTCTTTTTACACTGATTAATGCAGCACATAAAGCTCTCCTGAGGTATTAGCAAAATAATATATCCAAACATATTTCTTTAGCTCTCAAGTTTTCCTGAGTGTAAGAGATGTGAAGGCCTTGATATTACTTCGACCTACTTGAAATCACTAATAATATTCACCTTTGGACAGATTATCTCTTATGGGTTTGGCAAGGATGAAAAAAATAAACAGTTTCCAGTACAAATGGTAACAATGTATACCATCTTCTCCATATTTAAACATGTAAAACTTTACTATAGAGGAGTTCTATAATTATGAATATGTTTATGGTCAATTTTCTGCATAATTCAATTCAGTAAATATTTCAATGGGCATGTTTTCAATAAATAGTAAAGCAATAAAGTGTATCGAATAAGAGTACAGACTTTGGATCTGAACTGGTGGGTTCAAGTCCTGTTCTTTGCTGTGTGGTCTTAGCACCTTACTTCAACTCTTTGTACCTGTTCTACATTGGTAAATTGGGAAGAATGATAATACCTATATCTGAGGTTTGTTATTTTAATTAAATGAGTTAATACACGAAGAGCTTAAAATAGTGCCTGTTTCCAGGACTGTTACCTTACTAATGTTAATTGTTAAATTATTGCTGTGTGCTGGGCACAGTGGTAGGTTATATAGTGATAAACCAATAGACATGGTCTCTGCCCTTACAAGCTTATATTCAGGCAGGTGAGACATACATGGATGCCCCTTTGCAGCTACAATTCTGTTCTTGAAATAAGTTCAACCAGTGAAGTACTCTCATGTGATATCGGAAAGTTAGAACTGAAATGGAGGCCGGCTTTCTGAGCCTTCTGGCTATTTTTCTGCTGAAGCAAGAGCACAGAGACTTGAGGCTTTTTGCTCAGCATTCCAGTGCCCATGTACTAGCTTCCTGGATGTCAAGACACAGTTAGTTGTTGCAGGGTCAGCAGAAGCAGTGTTCCTTCTTGAGTCCAGCTTCCTGATCCCTGGGTCAGAGGTAAGAGGGGCAGCCTCAGAGGCAACAGCTGCCCTGGTGGGGCAGTTCAGTCTTGCCCTGGGAGTCATTCTTCATCTAGAGCCTGCTCCTCCACCCTTCCCCAAAATTTTATAAGCACTTAATTCCCTTTATTGTGTTGCTTCCTGCTTCTGATTTTAGAGTGCTGCAGAGAGTCGAGTGTCATGGAAGCCAAGAATGGATCAAGAAGGTCAATGGTGTAAAAATCTGCTGAATTGTTACTATAAGGTGAGGACTAGAAACCTTTCACCTGACTGAGTAACAGGATGCTGCAGGTAAAATATGAATGAAACAGAGTCACTGCACACAAAGAGCTCTTTCTAAAACAGATAAACATGCTTGAGAGTGATAACCAACTGAAATATGCACAAGGTCAGCAAGTATCACAGGGATGCAATGCTTATATAAATGTAGATATGTTGGTGGTGCTTATTGTAGCATATATGTCAGACTTCTGTGAGAAATATAGATTTCAAGAGAAGGCCGATGGGAGCTTCACCAGATCAAATCAAGTCTGGAAAAAGAAGAATTAGAAAAAGACTTATCCTGGGGACTTTTCTTTGGATGACTACTTAAAACAGTTAAAACGATAAGATTATTCATCTTTATATATGAAAAATAATTTGAATAATATATGTTTTCTCAATTAATCTTTTATATTGTAAAAGCAATATGTACTTATTGTAACAATGGTACAATCCAAAAGCAAATGAAAAGTCTCCTCCTACACCTCCAATTTCCACTCCACTGAGGGTAATGCTAACTGCCTGGATTGTGTATCACTCCCCAACTTTATCCATACTTATAAAAACATAGCTAGTTTGGCTTGGGAGTTTTGTTGGGGTTTTTTACAAGAATTCTATCATATTAGTATGCAATTGCTTTATTCACCTAACAGTATATTTTAGATATCTGACAAGGTCAATTGGCATCTAACTCAGTCTTTTAACAGCTGAATCCATAGAATAGATTCTGAATCCAGAAAATAACTATCAATGATACCATTTGTTCCCTACCAATGAATGTGTACATTGATCTAGGCTTTTATCACAACTAATAGCACTGCAATAAACATCCTTATACACATTTCCTTATTATAGAATGCTTTTATTAATATTTCCACAGGGAGATACCCAGTGATGCGACCACTGGATCAAAGATATTTTCTATTTCAGTATGTACTACATACTGTTTATCCAAAGGGTTGTTGTAGTTCATACTTCTATCAGGAATGTATGAGGGTGTCCATCTCTCCCATTTTCACCAAGTGCTAGATCCCACCCCATACCAGCAACAGAAGAAGGGCTGCATATAAGTATCCTAAATTGTTTGGGTCAATAGTTTTGGCTTCCAAAATTGTCCATTTTCATTGAATCCATCCTTCTTCATTGAATCCATCTTCTCCTCTTGATATTCCATTTTTCTTCTCTAGATTACATAGATTAGAGCACCTGTAAGCAAACAGATTCACTGCAGTTAATGTGTTTTCTCCCACAAATACAGTTATTCTTAAAGGAAACCAAAGATGCTTATGAACGTTAAATACACATTTGACTCCTTGCCTGACTTTTCATCATCTCTGAACACACAGGCTTCTTTGTATAGCTCTAACAAAACCTAGAGTAGATGTAGGTGAAGAACACAGATTTGGATATCAGGCAGACTGGACTTTAG